AATATAGGTAAAGTTGGACGCTAATTCAACAGTCTTGTTATCATTTTAAAGGATTTGGAAAAACGAATATCGACGTAAAGTATTAGCAGTACGATTAACAAGCGTTTGATTCGTTCAATTTATCTGTCAGGAGATGAGTAATATTTCGGTGTAGAAGAATGAAGAGAGGCTTGTAAATGGGCATTTCTTAATGTAGTTGATGATATCAATTGAGCGCTCCTTGTTGATTTAGTTCTTGATATCTTTATCAGACTTGATAATCATAGATGATAGTTTATATGTTATATAAGTGATTGTATCATACTCAATTGTTGTTCTATACAATAAGAGTTTATGTACAATGTATAGTGCAATTAGGAATGGCTGCTTTGGAAGTGGTGCGTTGTAATATTTTTGTAATATAATTTATCGTTCAGTTAACAAACTAGTTATTGTTAATATTACTAATTACTATTATTAGTATTATCTTATTTTGTTCATTATACGATGAGTGTTGTGCTTGATGCGACATTACTCTGAACGCATTGAAATGTGTTAACGTGATTCGATAGACTTTCTTGTTGAAGCGTTTAAGATTGAGGTGAATATTCGTTGTAAGATTTGGGAATTAGGAGGAGAATGAATGGCATTTGGTGGGATGATTCTAAAATGATGCATTTCAGAGTGATATTACGGGTCATAATGTGTTATTCTCGGTGGCGCTTGGAGACGCCGTACCAAAATGTTTGTGTTTACGCATGGACGTGGATGGAATTTTGTGGGNACTGGATTCCAGAGAGGACAAATTAGCTGTTCATAAGGCTACTTTCAACGCTTTTGGTTATGTACAAGTTGGTTTTTTTAGCATTTACATTGCAAGGCGATTTTGTTTAGTATTTACATTGCAAGGCGATTTTTCCTGAATTGATAGTGATTCACTTATCATTAGGTGATTTGCATAGTGAATGGATTGAGTGAAGAATTGGTAACATTTTTGATTGTTTGAATTGAGTCGTCTTGCTCAATATTGTGTTGAGAGTGCTGTCCAGTAGAATTAGAAACATTGCTGGGAATTGTTGAAAGGCGTAGAAATCAATTGAAGGCATCCAAAACACAACGAAAGTTCTGCACATGCTCACCGGACTGTTCTTATGCAGCGATCGTCGAAGATAAAAGACGTGCATTTATCTATTGGCAACCGACCGCTCTCGATACGGGTTATTATTAGTGTTCTTATTAGAATTATTATTGTTGTTGGTATTATTTTCATTATTATCGTTAACATTACCGTCTTTTGGTAAAAATTTCATTAGTGTCATCGTTATTGCGTGAAAGTGATCTGCTATTTATGAATTTATGCTGATTGTGAGCAGGTGCGTTCTGCAGGTTATAATATAGTAAAACAGTGATTGTTTAATGCGGATAATTATTTGGAGTAGTTATGGAACAATTTTTTATGCTAGTGGAAAGATGATTGAATGATAAGATGATTAAGATTTACGCAATCGAACAAGTGGTCAGCGAGTGAAGGCAGTGGCGAAGCAGAATTTGGTATCGTTGTCGATGATCGATTCGGATGGTTTCAAACGGGACGTGCTTGAGAATATCGTTGGAGTTTTTGCTGACACCAAAGCGCTTTTCATCCTGACGACGAAACATTTGTTCGTGATTGTTCTAAAATGAGTGCTGCATTGCACTGAAGATGAATGATCTGAATTGCAGTTTGACCTTCCAGATGTATATGATTAACATTCATACTGCTTATGTATATGTATATCGTTCAGTTTCAAAGATATCGAAAAACGCAATTGCTTCTTAAGGGTATGAATCGCTTTCTATGAACAAACGGTTTACGTTATGCTTCGAAAAGCAAACGAATCAGTAGGCCATACGGAGTGATGTGTATTGTTACTGTTGTTGTTGTGTAATTTACCTCGTGATTGTTTCATTTTTATTCATTCATTTATTCATATTGAATCTTTTCACTCTAATTGTAAGAGGAATTTTGTGGTTTTTTTACTGTATCAATGGCGATTTCTTTCTTGTATCGAATCATTTTCTGCGGATTGAATCATTTTCCTTTGTTCTTTAAAGTTAATAAAATTCATTTCGGTGAAAGTCAATCGTTTAAATATGTTTTATGGTTATCCTTCCAATTGCAAAAATATCTGAAATATTCGATTATTAAGATGGTTGCTTCCATTTGGTGAATTCTTTTTACATGTGACGATTGTTTTGTTCCGAGTTTGAGTTCACTTTACTTCATTTTTGCTCTCCTTCAGGTCAATTACAATGTCATTTCTCGATATTTCGCCAGATTCCGAATTTCCAATTCAGAATCTTCCGTATGGTGTCTTTTCGACGAAAGGAAACGTTAGTTTTGTTTTCATTTTCAATTGATAGCAGTATTATTGGAATGGAAAAGAACTATGCGAATATGATAGGACAATGGTTTTCAGCCTCGGAAAAGGATCGGTGTTGCGATAGGCGATTACATTCTCGATTTATCTGAAGTGAAACACCTCTTCAATGGGGCACACTTCGATTGTACACCTCACGTATTCGAGCAGGTCGCTCCATTCAGTTCATTCCAGAGAATATTCCTTCAAACTCACTGATTTCTAGAAATATTTGACTACTTATAATATTTGAAGTTTTTCACTGAATCAGGTTGTTATAACATAATTACTTGATGAATTATGCAAGTAGCATAGAGACCACTTGTGGTTTTTTGTTAAATGCTGTTAGCGTATAAGTCGATTGAAGTGAATTCAGGTAAATGTCTGAATGAGTTGTTGCAATGAAATCAAGTTTCAGCAGTCGTTGAATGCATTCATGTCACTTCCGAGAGAGGCTTGGCGTGAGGCTCGTTCGAATATTCAAAGGCTGTTGGGTAAGCAGGACAAGACATTGAGTGGCAATAACGAGCTGAAAGCACGAGCGATTGTGCCTCGAAGCGAAGCAGTCATGCATCTGCCTGTTCAGATCGGTGATTATACCGATTTCTACTCATCCATACATCATGCCACTAATGTTGGTATAATGTTCAGAGGCAAGGAAAATGCACTGATGCCGAATTGGTAATGAAATGTGTTCCATTTAGTTTCATCTTTGCTTCTTGTCTGGCCCTTTACTGACAATATGAATTTTTTGAGAATATGAAGAAATTTTCTGCTGAGAATATGAGTAAGTTCGTGCAAGTTGATGAGCATCTTATTGTTTTGCATTAGTGAATATCAGCTGCTTCATCAATATCAATTGCTTCATTCGGTTTCCATCAATATCAACTCACTTCATCAATTGCTTAATTATGAGCATCTAACTTCACTGTTTCTTTATCAATTGCTTTACTCAGCGATTGATTTAAGTTTACTCTTTTGAGGTGATATATGTGCATTCACATTTGAATGTTCTCATTTGTCAGAATAAAAGTTATTCTGCAATCTCGTGAGCATCGTAAAATTCTGCAGTGTGATAGCCACCAATTGCTATTCATTTGTGTTTCTTCAAGGAAATGGTTACCAGTGGGCTATCATGGACGTTCGTCGAGTATTCAGCCATCCGGAACCAGTTTGCGTCGACCATGGGGACAGACAAAAGCTGATGACGGTATGTATTTGTTTGTGTATGTCAATATTTCGACGTTCCACTTTTATTCAACCCTGATCGTGGAACTCTTACGAATCAATAAAAAGGCATATCGTCTTGGAAAGCGGAAAAATTTTCGGCAATATTTTGGTAGGAAGAAGGGAATCTGCAAGTAAACCTTTCTACAGAATTGATCTAATCAACATCTCTGAACTTTTTTACAGCTGCTCAGCCAACGTTCGGTCCGTCGAAATTGGTTGATTTTGAACTGGAAATGGCGTTCTTTGTCGGCGGTCCACCAACGGAAGTCGGTGAAACGATTCCAGTCAATAAAGCTGATGAGAGAATATTCGGAATGGTTCTTATGAACGATTGGAGTGGTCAGTTTTGTGTGGTGCAGTATCACGTTTTCGAATGGCTGAATTGTGGAATATGTGCGATTTCTATAAATATGTAAAGTTGACTAAGCAACAACGACAGTTTGAAAACATCGGCTGAATTACTCTGGACAGTGTTTTGACACCGTAGTAATCAAATTTCACATGAATTGGTGCATTACTCCTTCTCTGAAATGATTTCGAGTGGAGCAGAACATACGTGGATAGGTTGGCCGAGGGGAACGTGGGCAAGACTGCGTGTGCACGGTTATTAAGTTGCAAGTTCACTTGCAAAATTTTTGTTGTTTCCTCTCGGAATTGTTTTAGTTATCGTTCAAAACGGTTCGTTTGTTGCAGCTCGTGATATTCAGAAATGGGAATATGTACCGTTAGGACCGTTCTTGGGCAAAAGTTTCGGGACAACCATATCGCCGTGGATTGTTACTATGGATGCTTTAGCGCCATTCGTCATTGATAACATGGAACAAGTATAATTACTGTTTTTTGTTTCAATTCACTGCTTCATTATATACTCATTTGAAGTCATTTTGATGAAGCTGACGACTGTCTTATATGTAAGCCTATGTGAATTCAGCATACACGTGTTGTATAACTCCGTTCATTTTGTGTTGCAGGAACCCAAACCATTGCCCCATTTGCAACATGAAGATCCGTATAATTTCGATATCAATCTTCAAGCTTCGATCAAACGTAATATTCTGCTCTCTTAATTTTCATTTTCACCAGTTTATTGTGAAGTCCATTCTGACCTAATTTTGTAAATTTTGTCAACTTTTCAATCATTTGGATGAAATTTAATTTTTATTTGTAATTCGTCACCGACACATACGAAATTCAAATTTCAGCTGAAGGCGATAGCACTGACCATGTTGTTTGCCACTCGAATTTCAAGGTTTTTCACTTTCTTATTTTCAACTTGTTGAATTTTTTGTTTCGAATTTATTCGAGTGACATTTGAAAAAAAAGGCATTTGTTGCATGAATGCGACTGAGGCGAGTTGGGTGGATATATGAATGTATGCAGATTGAGTGTTTCGAGTAGATGGAACGGATGTGAGAAAGGAGGATGAGCAAATGAATTCTACATCTAGGTTTGAGACCGTTTCAGTTTAGTAAATGATTTGGAAATTGATAATTTCAGTACATGTATTGGACGATGAAGCAGCAACTCGCACATCACACAAGTAATGGATGTAATATCCGCGCAGGCGATTTGATGGGTTCCGGTACTATCTCTGGAACGGTTCGTCGTTGTGCTGATTGTATTGTTGCTGCATTATTCTTGTAGATAATCGATTCAGATGGCATTAAGCATTCGTTCATATTGCCGTTTGTCATATCGTGAACGTAGAAGAACGGGAATGAAAAGAAATGTTGATGTAGCAAGTGGAGTTGTAGCATGTTGAACCGTTGTTATTGAAATGCGATTGAATGAAAGCATTAATCGTTGAGGCGAATATAGATCTGTTGCAATAGAACTGCATTCAGGATGAGAAGAGTTTTGGATCGATGTTGGAGTTGTCCTGGAAAGGTACTCGAACAGTTCAAGTGGGCAGTCAAACTCGTAAATTCATCAATGACAACGATGAAGTCATTCTCAAAGGTGCCTCTTCTAAAATTGCACCGTCTATATTAAGAGAAATTCATGTTTTCAAATAATCCAATTCTATCGGTTTCACGTACCAAAGTAAGTGATCTTTTAGGCTGGTGCCAAGCCGATGGCTATCGAATTGGGTTCGGTGATTGCCGTGCTAAGTTGTTACCTGCGGTCAAGAAGTCTGAATGAATTCAGAAAAGAATCGTCTAATTCTAGACAAATTCAGACACAGTTCTATATCATGTCGGAAGGCATGGTTTGTAGTTCGTGTCAGATTAGGAATCACTTATATTATTGCATAATTTATCTGAACTTTCTGTGTTAAACCATTCTCATTTTCAAAACCATTCTCAATCCGTTTTGTTCTGATTAATTTCTTGCCTACCTCACTAACTGAATACTAAATAGTCAGTGTGGATATCTACCTCAGCATATCTTGTTTCTACTTAACGGATTTGTTGTGTTATTTCTACTTAACTCACTTATTTCTACTTAACTGATTTGTTGTATTGATCTTGTTGATGCTTCTAAGCAAACATAATGACGGATACGTTCTTGTTTTCTTTCATATTTGTGAACATTCCGAAAAGATTTTCGACTGATTATTTCTGTAGTGTTGTATTCTGCGTTTGAATCCTACCTCAGCAATAACATCGTATATTTCTTCTGGTTATGTTGACAGTATCAAAGTATTTCACTTATGACTCGATTTTGTTCAATGATAAAATTTCATTCGTTGTTTTCTGGTGTTGTCCTTGCGTAAACTACTAGTTGTTCCGTACAATTAACACATTCAAAATATTTTACCTGTTCTGAGTTCAACGAAGTGATGCTTGGAGTTACACCATCCTTGACCTCCCCTAACAGTTCAGAATCCGAATTTCTTGGAGCATATAATCGTCATCCAATTAGATCACATTCAACCAATACATCGCTTGGGATTTCTTTCCGTTTGAGAAGGAGTTTTCTCTTGGATATTGTCAAATGCTACCATCTACCAATGGTAAGTACTTGGGGGATCGGTAGAAGCGATCAGTATGAAGTAAGAGTCGATTTGAGTAACGGGATGGATCGCACTTAGACGATAATCTAGCTACAACAAGGCCTGGTGAGAATGTCGCTGTTCAAAGTTCCATTTGATGGAAGATGACGATGACAGGTGTTTCAGAATGTCGTTCATAGAAGTGGCTCCAGATTCGCAGTTCCCCATTCAGAATCTACCGTACGGCGTGTTTTCAACCAAATCAAATGTAATTCCGAACTTGAGTTTTTGTAAATCTGCACGAATATTTGCTATAATAATATTTCTTCACCGAACCATCATAATAGTTGATTCAGACTGGATGAATGCCTTTCGCGGATACTCTGCTCTATTGCCGTTAAAGAAGTAACACAATTGATAGTATCGCTCGTATCAAAATTAGTATAGAACAATGATTTACTGTTTAACTCACATTCTCCACTCATATTGATAGTCAATCTTACTGTGCTATCGTTATCATTGATATTCTCTACTGAATGCGTTTTTTCTCGTTTCAATCGAAGCAATCTTCCAGCCGAAGAAGCGAATTGGAGTGGCGATTGGTGATTACATACTGGATTTATCGGCGGTCAAGCATCTATTCACTGGGCCGATATTCAGCTCCAAACAACATGTCTTTGAAGAGGTTCTTATAACTACCTTATTTTCTTTGATATGGTCATTTTTCTTTCGTTGCGTTCTCGATTGGATGTAGTTGAGCAAATAAAAGACATTGCTTGGTAGGAAATCGAATGAGTAGTTGATAGAAGTTACGAAAGTTAAGGATTCTTTAAAATGTGCAAATGAGATTAAAATTAAATGGGCAAGGAAAATAGCACTATGCACAATAACCACTAGGCGAACAGGTGCACAGAATGGCAGCCTAGAATTAGAAGGAGATGTCCGATCCGGCCTAAAATGAGATGGTTAAAACAAATATGCAAAATTCCGGGTCAAATACGGATAAGCAATCAACTGTGATAATATGCTAATTGGAGTGGTGATAGGCTTGAAAAGGCTTCTGAAATGTGCATTAACAAGCGGAGTAAATAAATAAATGACTGAATAAATAGCTTCGAATAAATTGCGAATGAAATGATATCTAAGGAAACATTGAATGCGTTCATGTCGCTTCCGCGAGAGGCATGGCGTGAGGCTCGTTCGCAAATTCGATCACTATTAAGTAAGGATGATAAACGATTGAGTGATAACAGCGAATTGAAATCGAAAGCGATCGTATCACAAAACGATGCCATCATGCATTTACCTGCACAAATCGGCGATTACACTGACTTCTTCTCATCGATTTATCATGCTAACAACTGCGGCATTCTTTTTCTGGGCAGCAAAGATCGTCTATGGCCGAACTGGTTGGATGTCTTGCCATTTTCGTTCACCTCCGTTCAGTATCTCCATTGTCTTTGCATCATCTTACTATCATATCTGTTCATTCGCCCAGGGAGAATGAATTCAAAATGAATGTTGAATTCGGTTCCCTAAAGCTTTTTCGCGATTGTAACAGATATAACTTGCTTGGAATTGAAGGAGAAGGTTGCCAGTGGCATACAATGGACGTACATCAAGTGTGGTGGTCTCAGGTACACCCATACATCGGCCGTGGGGTCAGCTTATCACTGATAATGGTTCGTTTCTCGTTCTCTTCACAGAGTTTTGACCATTTGTACGCCTCTACCAAATAACACTTCATTCACTCTCTTTTCTTGTTCGAAATCGATCGTATTGTTGTCGTTGAAGATCTACGAATTCATTTATGTTGAGTACAACGTAGCGAGCGACTGATATGATTTGTAACTGATCGTGAGTGTGTTCATCGATAGATGCATGAATGAATGACTTTCATTTTTTACTGCAACAGACTCCTTTCCCCATTTTCTTCTAAGCTTTCTTCANACAACCGAAGTAATTCATACATCAAATCGAATGCAATAATCTTCTACGAATTAAATTTTGCATATTCGTTTTTGATGTATGTCTCATTGATTGATGAAGATTTCAGCCGAAGAGCCGATATTCAGCCAATCAAAATGCATTGATACGGAACTGGAAATGGCATTTTTCATTGGAGGACCGCCGACCCAACTTGGTGAGACCGTTCCGGTTGAGAAGGCCGATGAACGAATCTTCGGAATGGTCCTTTTGAATGATTGGAGTGGTTTGTTGATGTTATTCAATTGCTGCACTCCTCTCACAAACGTCATGAGTTGTAATCGCCTCTAGATTTTAAGAATCATCCTCGAAAAAATTCATAACTGGAAATAAATGAGAAAATTTCAGTAAAGCATCATCGTTGAATGATAGTCGTCGAAGAATTGATTTAAGGTGTTGAAACCATACTTGGTGCTTTCAGCTCGTGACATTCAAAAGTGGGAATCCATTCCGTTAGGACCATTTTTGGGGAAAAGTTTCGGCACAACGATATCGCCGTGGATCGTCACTATGGATGCTTTAATACCGTTCCTAGTGGATAATATGAAACAGGTTCATCACTGGAATGATTTCTGTTTCGGTGATGGTATGGAACGAAGAGATTCAAATGGCTGAATGAAACGATTGCAGATGCAATCTTTATTCATTGTTGCCGTTCATTTGAGACTATTCAATGTCGTCTCTTATTCAATAGCACTTTCTGATATCTAAAATCATTCCTCAGCTAACAATGAGGGAATTTCATTTGTGGGAGGACCGAACACTTTGAAAAATTGTTTTCTGTTATCGTAATACAACTACTGAATGCTGATTGCAGAGTCCGGAACCATTACGCTATTTGAAGCACGATGATGCGTACAATTTCGACATTAATCTCGAATTAGCCATAAAACGTTATTCTTCGATCATTCGTTGTTCATCGTTTCACTGAATATTTATCGTTGAATGTTGATTGTTGAGTATTTATATGAGATCTAACAAGTGATTTCCTGATTTCTTTCAGCCGCTGCTTCAACCATTGACCATGTTGTTTGCCGTTCTAATTACAAGGTTAACATTTCCACTGAATCTCTTTTTGAGTCATCATTCACTAATGATAAGTAGAAGTTCGGCAGAATTTCGAGTAATCTTTCAGAAATCATTCAAAATACTGCAGATTTGAAAAAGTTCTCTGAAAATTTTCGTTGAATTCAAGTGAATTTATGAATTATTGTTATGTGCTCTCAGCTAGTGCACACTATTTAGTAATAGTCATATTCGTGTAACTCAAGCTTTCCATTGAAATAAGGTGTGTCGCCACGATTAGGTAATGAGTGGACAAGGAAACATGAGGTGATCACATAGCTTATAGACCATGGAATCGAGCGTGTTATTAGAAATAGTGGTAATTTTAGTATATGTACTGGACAATGAAGCAACAACTTGCACATCACACAAGTAACGGATGTAATATTCGCGCTGGCGATTTAATGGGATCGGGTACCATTTCTGGACCGGTTAGTTTCGTTTATCATATTGTTTTTTCCAGTCCGTTCGCATTCTCATAATTCTCTTCTCAATAATATGTTCTTCATGATGACTTCTTGTACTGTTTCCCTGATTTTATTTCACAATTTGAAGGAAGAAGGTAGTTTCGGCTCAATGTTGGAACTGTCGTGGAACGGTGCGAAGTCAGTGAAAGTCGGCGATCAAACTCGTAAATTCATAGAGGATAACGATGAGGTTATCCTCAGAGGTAATGTAATGAAGTGACCTTTTGTGATCATTTCCCAGTGATTATTTCCGGATGAAATGACTGAGTGTATGGAATCAGAATGCGTTCAAATAGAAGCAATTGATCAAAACGCACTGTCATAAAACAATATCAAACCCAAATCTGTTTTCAGGATGGTGCCAAGGTGATGGTTATCGTGTCGGTTTTGGTGAATGTGCTGCTAAATTACTACCAGCAGTAGAATCGCCCTATTGAAAACCTGTTATTATGAATTCCTTGAAGCATGTTCGTTTATCACATGCGCGTAATGAATGAGAAGATGATCTTCAAGTGAATTAGTTTCGAAGCTGTCGTTATTAAAATGTTTGAAATATTTCGTGGACGTTGTTAGGCTCGTTTTTATATGTTATTAGGCTCGTTTTTCGATATATTAACTGACGTTTGATTATGCTGTTAATATTCATCTTCATATTTATTACTTCTAGTCGATGTATTGATACTGATCATTCATTTGATCGCTTCTAGTCGTCACCGTTGTGTTTCTGTTTTAGATTGTGATATTTTTGCTATGTTCTTGCATAAAATGGGTATTTATATAAGCTCACATCTTGCCTTGTAATCGGTCAGCTCAATACTTTTATTTTACTACTTCTTCAGCAAATATATGTTAATGTAATGTGTAACATTCTTGTCAAGTTGTTTTTGCGATCAGAACTATTCATTTGTTTTCATGAGAAGATCGGGTTGTTGTGTTGGTGCTGTGAGAATAAATGTTGTTCTGAAAGTGTTTCGAAGTAAAGTTTCATTCATTGTTCGATCAAAACTGATAGCATTTTACATGTTTCAATTGCTCATATGATTCATTCAGAACATTCATTCATCTTATCTTGTGCAGTTTTATTCAAAAACTGCTATGGAACGGTTGGCAATTAGACGTATAGTTCAAGTATTTTACTGATTGTCCAATGCGGACAGTCAATATCTCACTTCAGTTAGAATTCAAGTGAATGGGAGTATATCTAGCCAGAAACGGAGTATATTCAGCACCAGTGCGGTGTACCAATTGACTACGAGTTTATCTCTTTGCAGATCAATTTATGAAAGGGAATGGATCATGTCTAAACAATTAACAATTTTTAGTCGTTACTTGTTGATGGTGGAGTGAATTTCGACGCAATGGCTTCAGTATCAACATTTATTGAGAATCAATTTCAATTCGCCGAAATGAACATTCAACATCATGGTAACGTTGATAAAACCGTATCGCTTATCAAACGTGCTGTTCGTATGGGTTATGATAGTATTGTTGTCAACACGGATATCGGTGATATCTTCAACGAGCAGGTCTCCTCTCCTATTCCATATTATCAACTTGTTCAGTTCTTATTTGCACAAGACGCGCGAATAAGGTCAGTGAAATTTTTTATTGTTTTCAGTCGCAGATGGACGAATCGACTGAAGATGAACCACCCATAAAAAAGAAGAAAAAGAAGGGCAAACGAGAGAATCATATCCCTGATCCCGTACAAATTGATGTCTCTCAAATCAATACCGCCGATCTAGAGGTTGCTGGTAAAAAGTTGCGATTATTTAGGTGAGTGTCTTGCACTTAAATAGTGCTGCCTCGTTCTTTTATGAAATACTTCGTCATTCTTAACCTAACTTTATAATCGTCATTCAGTTTGTGTCGCCATTCCGAGAGATTTATCTTGAAAAAGATTTGTGATAGGTGTTAAAGCGACAATAGTAATATTGTTAACGATAATATCGTTGATGTTGATCATACTAATGAAGATTACAGTATTCTTTTGATGCTAATTATAACAGTAACGGTACCATTAATGATAATAGTAACGATAATAATAGCAGTAACAATACTATTAACGAGCGTGATAATAGTCGCGATATAATAATAACGATAATAGTACCGATACTGATTATATTAACGATACAATAATAAGGATAATAGTAA